TGTCCTTTCTTTTAAATTTCACTTCAGTTTCATGGAAGATACTTGAGACTCAACCACAGCAAGAACATAACTGATCCTTAAAACAAACAAACACAAAAACCACCTTTTATCTTACCATGTAACTGATGGTAATTCATGCTATGTAGTCTCTTTATTCATCTCTACCTACAGTATTTACAACATAGAGCTGTTTTACTAATGGATAAATAAGTCTCTGTCAAATTTTTCAAGTCCAAACAGAAGGTAAAAGTTTCTAAGTATGATTTGTTGAGTAATGGCCTGTGAGGCAGTAAATTATGAGGAAGCTACAGCTGGAACTGTACAGCTGAGCTATTCAGAAAACTTTCTTACCTCTGGGTATTGGGACAGGCTGCATTTAGTTTGGGTCACACCATCATTCTCTCAATGAAAGGAACGCTCTCATGCAGAGCCATACATGCCATTTTTAATGTAGGTTTAACAGTCACACCACAATCTGTTCTGCTGGCTCTGCTGCACACCTAGGGTGTTTTCAGGAAGCACCGGCCAGAATGAGACTGGCCACACACCAAAGGCCCCACTATCTGCTGTTTCATCTGGCCTCAACCATCACAGCTGGTGGGGAGCCACGCATTACTGCATAGCACTGGACAGTTCTCTCTTTTATCTCCGTCTCTCATTTCCCTATTTAATCACATTCAATCAACTGCCTATTTTATAGCATTCACAAGGAGTTTTTTTTTTTGTCATTTCATTGGGAGTCTATTTAATTAAATAAATGGATTTTAGAGACCAAGTGTATGAATTCAATTACAAGCCTATGGAAAGCTCACCAACGAACAGATTAAAAATAATAATAATGAAGTTGGTGCATCACACAAGAAATGTGTCATCTTCTTATGCTGAGGTAAAGAAAAATACCAGAAGCCAAGTACCAAGAAAGCAAGCTTTTAGGAGCCAGCACAGATCCTCCTCAACTTACAATGGGGTTAAGGCCCAATAAACCACTGTAAGATGAAAATAGCATTAAGTCAAAAATGCATTTAATACATCTAACCTCCCAAACATCATAGCTTAGCCAAGCCTGCCTTAAAAATGCTCAGAACACTTATACTGGGCTTGTAGTTGGGAAAAGTCATCTATCACAAAGCCTATTTTATAATAAAATGTTGAATACCTCATGTAATTTATTAATCATATTGAAAGTGAAAAACAGAATGGTTCTCTGGGTACAGAATGGTTTTAAGTGTACTGGTTGTCTACTCTCATGGTGGCATGGCCAATTGGAGCTACTGGGAGCTTCTGCCGCTGCCCAGCATCATCAGACAGCACCATATGGCATATCATTAGCCAGGAAGAGATCAAATTTCAAAATGTGAAGTACACTTTCTACTGAACGGTATGCTTTCACACCATCGTAAAGCTGAAAACTCCTAAGTTGAACCACTGTAAGTTCGGGACAATCTGTATATGGAACATCTTGCTCTAAGAATGAAGTTTCCTCTTAGAATAAAGCACAGAGAAAAATATAGTCAATGGATAAGAAGAATAAGTAATTTCTACCTAAACAACTCAAGGTTTAGGAAATCTGAAACTCACAGAAGAAAAGAATGAGCTTAAGAGGTACGTTTTGATTTCATCGTGAAAAACAGAAATCCGAATAGTATGACTTCATGAGTTCACATACTTCACCAGACAGGCTATAGGCCTCCCTTAGGCCTTAAACCTGGTCATTTTTCTTAAGAACAATGCCAAACGGAGGACCCCATACAGCAAATACAATTACTGTTCCTACTTTACAAACAATGAAACTGACACCGAAATTATGTAACTCGCCCAAGATGACAGAGCTGCAAATCAGGAAATGGGAAGGAAGTGGGTGGGGAAGAGAAGGAACAATTAACTCAAATCTGCCAAGAATGTTAGTCCCTTGCTAATTCAAAGTGATCTAGGGACCAGCACCATCAGCATCACCTCAGAGCTTGTTAGAAATGCAGATTCTCAGGTCCCAACCCAGAACTACTGAATCGTTAACTTGGATTTTAACGAAATTCCCATGTGATCTTTATGTACCCTAAAGTATGAGCAGCACTGTGTTTGTCCTACTTCTTGTAGAGAAGAAAGAGCGTGATCTTAGCTGGTATGAACCTGTATGAAAGATGGATAGAAATGTACCACTTGGGAACTAGGACTTGCACTAGTAGAAAGTACTAAAAAAAAAATTCAAAAGGTGACACTGGGTTTGTCATTGGATTATCAAAGGTTGGTCTAAAGCCTGGAGAATTCACAAGCTTACAAGTGTGAGTTTTTAAAAAAGTATACATGATGGACTACATGTTGGCCTTTCTTGAGTCCCTTAGGGCACATGGCTGGGGAAGCACCAGCAACAGTGGTTCAGTTAGAAAATGAAGACTATTCTCCAGATAAAGCTAAAATGGGAACAAAAGTTGAAATTTCTCCAAAGAGGCAGGAATTAGAGGCTTAGGAAAATTTAGAGTAGGAATTGGCCACAATATCACAAGTAGCAGAAATGCAGGGATTGAAAACAAACAGGAGAAGGGGTGGGTTTTAGAATTTGTTAAGGAAATAGAAAACAGTGCAAACCTATTGAGGTTGAAGAACTCTCTCTATTGAGGAATTAATTATTTAGATAACTGAATGGAAACTCCGTTGACAAAGCGAAAAAAGGATATACCCTTCACAAATATTATGATTTCACACATTTAAAACAGAAGTCAAATACTGTCTCTCATCAACTCTAAAAACACTTCAGTATTTCCCACTGAAGTCATTTGTCACTTTCTAAAATACTTGCAATTTACAAAGGTTTGACTTCTTGTCTTTCTGTCTCTAAACTAGAATTAAAGTCCACAATAGCAAGGTTTTTCTGGTTTTGCTTATTACAGTTTTTTTTACAGAGCTTAGTGCATAGCACACAGTGGGACCTAAATAAATATTTACTGAAGCAAAAAGTCATGAATAGATTGCTAAGGACATAAGTGTCAAAGGAAAAATGGAATAGAAAATTATTTTCAAATACCTGAATATAGACTCTAGTTAGAATGCAATTTCCATGAGAACAGGCATTTTTACCTCTTTTGCTGAATGTAAGGATGGATACAATAGAAAGTTCAATATAATGTAACTGATTCTAAGGTGTGTTTTTTTCATATTTTTATAACACTGAAATCTGTTTTACAATACTATCTGAATCCATGTCAGCCTGGCAATGGTTATTATGTAGTTGTCATTCTGAACGCAAGGACATTAAAGACAGCATGAAACCTTGCCAAATGGTTTACTGGTGATGGTATAGCTATCATTTAGGATAATTAATCTAACTTAATACCCCTGAAGCAGGAGTCAAAAGGTGGCTAAACAGGAACTTACTTTAAGTCGTTTTAAGCTTTTAAAAATCCAGTACAAATCACTTTTAGTTCTTTTATTATTTTAGGAAATGCTACATCACCATCACTTTTGATGCCACTGAACACAAAATAGTGTAGAAAAACAGACACTGATGACTGGAGAGGAAAAGCAATTCTAGAGTCAGATTCTGAGTGTGAAGAAGTTTTAGATATACCTTAGCCAATTAAGTTTGCTTATAGTTTTCCTATTTTAGGACTTCCCTGATAGCTCAGTTGGTAAAGAATCTGCCTGCAATGCAGGAGACCACAGTTCAATTCCTGGGTCGGGAAGACCTGCTGGAGAAGGGATAGGCCACCCACTCCAGTATTCTTGGGCTTCCCTGGTGCCTCATCTGGGAAAGAATCCACCTGCAATGTGGGACACCTGGGTTTGATCCCTGGGTTGGGAAGATCCTCTGGAGAAGGGAAAGGCTACCCACTCCAGCATCCTGGCCTGGAGAATTCCATGGACTATATGTCAGTGGGGTCGCAAAGAGTCGGACACAACTAAGCAACTTTCACTTCACTTCCTATTTTATGTATGTACCAGAATGATCAATCATAAAAATCTGTTTTAACTCAATCTAAAACTCTTTAAGTAAACATGAAATAAAAACTATAGGGGAGAGAAAGCATTGCACAACTTCTCTGTGACTGATGATTTCCTTCCTCAATGTAGAATGCAATATGTTGTCTGAACAATTATACCCCTAGGGGGAGCTCAAAGTCCATCTTCCTTTATGTGTGTGCGCTCAGTCACTCAGTTGTGTCCAACTCTGCGACCCCGTGGGCTGTAGCCCACCAGGCTTCTCTGACCATTGGATTTCCCAGGCAAGAATACTGGAGTGGCTTGCCATTTCCTTGTCCAGGGGATCTTCCCAATTCAGGGATCAAACCTGTGTCTCCTGCATTAGCAGGATTCTTTACCACTGCGCCACCTGGGAAGCCCCACATCTTCCTTTATTCCACCCCCAAAAAGGGCAATGAGATACTGCCGAGGACACATTAGAAAGCCACAGTACTATATATTGCTTTCCAACAAAATGGTAAAAAAACATCATATGATCTTGTATCTACAGGTGACGTCTTAGATCTTTATAGTCATCCCCTTCTGGATTTACTCTTCCTTCATAGAGTGTATGCAAAAAGAAAAAGAAAAAAAACCTGCCTCCTCTCTTGGGAAGGCTATTAAGGAAATAGATGAGAAAGTCAGAAAATAGCCAAGGGAAAAAAAGGCCTGGGGACAGACAGCCTGCTTCTAGTCTAAGCAAAAAGAGTGCTTTTTCTATGGCTAAGTTCTGCATGGGGTTTTGCAATGAAAGCCTTTAGCAATAAAAAGCATGCTAGCAATAAAAGGATGTGCTTGGGAAGCTACAGGGGGTGGTGGCAGTAGGCTCCAGTCTAGCAAATAAGGAATTAAAACCTAATGTATGAACTGCTTAAAAGTACAGCTAAAAGTTACCTTTAAGAACTTTCTTTTCTACCAGTGTAACAGAATCTTAAGCATTGCCATGTTAGGAAATCTAGAAGCTTATAATTAACATACTATTTTCCGGGGGAGCATAAGGGCCTGTTTCAAAGGTATATTAAAATGAAATTAATAAACTGTTTTACCTGGAAAGATCCAAGAATATCCTTTAAGGGCTCTTCATAAAATTCATCTCTTCCAAAGAACAGCAGCAACTCAAAGAAACTCCTAGAAGGAATAAGTGAATGGATTGATTTTTTTTTTGCCCCAATTTAAAAGATTGTCAAGAAATAACAGTTACATAATACCAGATATTTAGTTTTAAAATAGTTGGCTTTGAAAAACTGTATTAATCATTTGAAGTGAGGTGAAGTTAAAGTCACTCAGTCGCGTATGACTCTTTGCAACCCCATGGACTATACATACAGTCCATGGAATTCTCCAGGCCAGAATACTGGAGTGGGTAGCTTCTCCCTTCCCTAGGGGATCTTCCCAACCCAGGGATTGAACCCAGGTCTCTCCCGCACTGCAGGCAGATTCTTTACCAGTTGAGCTACAAGGGAAGCCCACTAATCATTTAGGATTCATGTTATGTTTTTGGTAAAATTATAATAAAAAGAAATATCAGTTCAGTTCACTCGCTCAGTCGTGTCCGACTCTTTGCGACCCTATGAACCGCAGCACGCCAGGCCTCCCTGTCCATCACCAACTCCTGGAGTCCACCCAAACCCATGTCCATTGAGTCAGTAATGCCATCCAACCATCTCATCCTCTGTCGTCCCCCTTCTCCTCCTGCCCTCAATCTTTCCCAGCATCAGGGTCTTTTCAAATGAGTCAGCTCTTCTGAAGTTCTATATCAACAGAATTACTTGAGTCTGGTAGTAGAAGTAGTATTAGTCACTCAATCGTGTCCAATTCTCTGTGACCCCATGGACTGCAGCCTGCCAGGATCCTCTCTAGGCAAGAATACTGGAGTGGGTTGTCATTCCCTTCGCCAGAGGATCTTCCCAACCCAGGGATCAAACTCAGGTCTCCTGTTTTGCAACCAGGGGGAAAAAATGCAGTGATATACCAGGTGGCAAAAATATGGCTACATATATCAAAATGATTAAAAAATCATAGTCCCACTTGACCCCAGTACAACAGACCCCAGAGAAAATGCAAAATCTAATTTTTTTTTTTCCAGAGGGATATAGTGGTTAGTGGCTCAGTCATGTCTGACTCTTTCCAACCCCATGGATTGTAGCCCTCCAGGCTCCTCTATCCATGGATTCTTCAGGCAAGAAGAACCCAGGTCTCCTGCATCACACATGGACTCTTTGCCATCTAAGCCACTAGGGAAGCCAGTGGGATATAAGGGATGGGTAAAACTGACACAAAATATAAAATACATTCACAAAAAAAGTTAGAGTCACAATGAAACTCAGTCAACATTTCAATGACAACAAAATCACCAATTCTATAGCTAAAAAGTAACACACCAGTCCTCAAATCCTAGGCCGACCTTGATTATCCCATTTATGATAAACTGTCTGAACTCTGGGAGTCCTCCTTTTTAAATGAGTTATTTGGAAAATACTGTTAGTAAGTACTTTATGTGCCTTTAACAATTCATGAGTTCACACAGGAAGAAATATGACTTATTTCCTAATCATGAGCATGGAAAACTATTAAAAATTACTTAATATTATTTAGTAATCCTAAAATAGCACAAATGACAAACCCTAATTTTTTTTTAAATTTTATTAATCTAGAAGACCCAATTAGGAATACCTGAATACTTTTTAAACACTTCTGGCTCCCCTTTTTGAAGCATAATTGACACACAATAATATATTAGTTTCAGGTGCACAACACAGTGATTCAACATTTGTACATGGGAAGTGATCACAATAAGTTTAATTAACATCTATAACCACACAGTTACAATTATTTTCTTCTGAAAGAACTTTTAAGATCTACTCTCTTAGCAACTCTCAAGTATACAATACAGTGTTATTAACTGTGGTTACCATGCTGTGTAATCACATCCCTATGATTTCTTTTGTAACTGAAGTTTGTACCTTTTGACTCTCTTCACCCATTATGCCTAACCCTCACTGTCCACCTCTGGCAACCACTAATCTGCTTGTATCTATGAGCTTGTTATTTGGGGGTTTTCTTGTTTCTTTTGGCTTAAAATATTCAACATATAGGTGAGCTCATGCAGTCTTTATCTGACTTATTTCACTGAGCATAATGCCCTTCAGGTTCATTCGTGTTGTCACAAATGGCAATACTGCATTTTTTAATGGCTGAATACTATTTATTGTGTGTGTGTCTGTATATATATATATGTATAGATATATATACACATACCACATCTATTTTATCCACTAATCCACTGATGGACACTTAGGCTGTTTCCATATATTGACTACTATAAATAATGCTGCAATAAACAATTGGTACATATATCTTTTTGGATTATTTTCTTTGGATAAATACCCAAGTATTATTATTATGCTGGATTGTATAACAGTTCCATTTTTAATTTCCCGAGGAACCTCCAGACTGTACCAATCTACATTCCCACTAACAGTGTACAAAGGTTCCCTTTTCTCCAGTTCCTTGCCAATGTGTTATTTCTTATCTTTTTATTTTTGCCTTTATTCAAAGTAAATTGCTAATAAAGACAATTTTTAATGCAAATGAAGAATGTAACTGAGAATTTTTTTAATTATATAAGACCTAGATATTACACATAGTTACAAAGACCTTTCTAAATACAGCATAGTAACCATATTCCATAATTTGCTATATTTATTTATAAATTTGACTACTTATTAGTTTTAAATGTCAACAGAACAAAACCACATAAAAGCAGTCAAAAACAAAATAATGCACTAAGAATCTTTGCTGATTTCCTTAATTAGAAAGCTTATACAAGTAAATTTTGTTTTAAAGTTAACAACCTAGTAGAAAACTAGAAGGAAGACTACAGAAAAGAAATTCAAGTGGATTTTTTTCAAATATGAAAAGATTCCCTACTGTAAGTGAAATTATTAAGATGAAATTTCATCTTTCCTATCAAATTTACAAAAATAAAAACACTGAAATATCATATGATGGCTCTGAAGTACAGAAATAGGCTCTGATATCTAGTTGGGGGGCTGATAAATGGCACTACTTCATTTAAAGGCAGCACAGTAATAGTCAAAGTTTAAAATGCACATATACCATTACACTTACCATTTCCAGTTAAAAGAATTTAATCCTCCAGATAATACACAAGTTCAGAAACACATATATATATATGGATATGTATCCACAGATGGTTTGTAGTAGTAAAAGAATGGAAACATACTCAATGTCTACCACAGGGGACTGGGTAAATTAATTATAATATGCCCATAAAATGAAATATAAACATTAATGAGAATATTAGTGAGAATATGTCTACATCTGTATGAACAGATAAGGGGGAAAAATTCCAGGATATACTGTTAAGCAAAGATGGAGAAATCTATTCATTACATCATTACTGGTGCAAAGGAAAGGAGCGTGTAAAGGACACATGTATACCAGTGCAAAATACCAGACTACCAGCGATAGCAACAAACTGGTAAAAAAACAATTGCCTTACAAAGGGGAAACAGAACTAGAGGTCAGGGATGAAAAGGAGAATTATTTTTCATTATCAACCATTAAGCATTTATTTTACCATCAGTCAGTATAAAATATAAGTCAGTATAAAATAGCACCATCAATGTATTTCTGGAGTCTTCTCTATCCCTATTAATAAAGCATTAATTCACATCTGTCTCATCTTTAAATTTCTAACAGACCCTATCTCTTGTCTTGCTATTGCACTTTACTTAAAATCCATGTTCAACATAGCTGCCATTGTTATCTTCCTAAAACACACAATGATCTACTTAAACTTACCAATTGCTGTGTAAATTGTATCATTTAAAACAAAGACCTCCAGCTGACACATCTGTTTTATATATGGATAAAGTATTATTTTCAAGTATTTTAGTCAGTTTCCAATGTTTAAAAACTGATATTTCAGATTAAATATAGATTTCTCTGAGCTCTTAAAACACAGAAACCCCTTTATCTCCCCACAGCAAAATAAGCTGAGCAGGCATTACCTTTAGTCAGGGCATGAACTTTTTTCCAACTTGCCAGTTTCCATCTACCTCCCATTTCCTCAACACACTGCCTACTTGACTTATTACTTATATTCCTTTCCTATTGTATTTAGGTATTTGAGACCACTGATGAAGAGAAGGAAATTCAAATTTCTTATTTTGACATAACAACCTTTATGTCTGACCCAAAACTACTTTTATACACATACCTGTTACCAAATTCCATGCACACGAATTGCAGCATTTCCTACACATCTTAAAACTACTGTGTGCATAAAGGTGTTTGGATCTTTTGCTTCCTCAGACCTATTTATAAGATTTTACCTAGGAACTTAGCCTAACAACTCCCTGCCTTCTCTCCAGACAAATATATAGGTAATTCATCTGTACTATCAAAGTAGTGTACTTTGCATATATATCTACTATAACATGGTGAAACAAGGAAATGTTAAATTTGCACTAGGTATAATGGGGTAGAAACTGCATCATTACATTGAGTAGATGGTTCTAATTAGTAGAGCACTTAATTTTATTGAAGGAGGGAGAGATACAAGGTTTTTAGTAGACATAAAATATGTTACAGCAGTTAATTTAGAGATGAGTGTGCAGATTTATATGACCTGGTAGATAATCAAAAAAAATATGCAGAATTATGCTGTATTATGTGAACATGAAAGGGGAGCCAACTTTACAAGAGATCTGTATATCCCTACCAGCTACTTCAGTAACAAGGCCCATTGTAATGACATTATAATGAGAAAAACCACATGAAAAACAAATAAAGAATTGTTGTTTAGTCGCTAAGATTCTTTTGTGACCCCATGGACTGTAGCCCACCAGGCTCCTTTGTCCCTGGGATTTCCCAGGCAAGAGTACTGCAGTGGGTTGCCATTTTCTTCTCTAGTAGATAATGATGTAACAACACGGGTGTGTGTGTGTGTGTGTGACAACACGGGGGTGTGTGTGTGTGTTAGTCACTCAGTCGTGTCTGACTCTTTGTGACCCCATGGACTGTACCTTGTCAGGCTCCTCTGTCTATGGAATTCTCCAGACAAGAATACTGGAACAGGTTGCCATGCCCTTCTCCAGGGG